ATATGACATAATCCAGTGTAGGTTGTCTCCCCTGACAACTCTTTCTGAGGCCCTACTGGGGGTGTTATAATAAAAATGTTAAGTTGCAAGATTTGAATAAAAGATTTAATCCTCTAGCGGATAAATCAAATATTATTCAAACATTACAACTTGGGAATAAAGGAAAAGAGAAATCAGTTTAAAAAACGTACTAATATTTATTAATAAAAACGTGTTGGCGTGAAAACGGCCATGGCTGGATAAAAGCATTTTAATTATTTAACCTATTGAAATGTCTATGTGTTTCGAGTTAAAACTACTAAATGTCTTTACTATAACTGTTTTTGCCCCGGCAACGGTTGCAAAAACGTGGTAGCACATGCCAAAAAGCCCACAAGCAAAGTGAAACATTTGACTGTGGGCTTCCGCCAAAGCGGGCTACCACAGCAAACAATTTTGCCCTACCCAGCCCATGGACGTGAATGTGTGGAGAGCACCCGATATTGTATTCAATAAAATGTGGTTACCAAAGTCCGACAGATGTGTGCCATCCGGCCTATACAACCTAGGGTTCTCCGTAATATCAGGGTAAACGAATATAATAAACCCCCGAGTTTAATAACAAATGTACTGATACAACTATTTATACGCATGCGGGTTTTTATTTGCAGTTTTGTTACATTGGATATATCTCCATGACCTTCTTGGTAATATCTGAGACCAAATTATTTTCGTATCAGGCATTTTTTCAAGCAAAGTCCCTGTTATAAAGTTTTTGATGTCCCATATGATTTCAACTGAAGGTCGATTTCCTAAATCGTTCCCGCCACAGTGTATTATCAAAAATTTAGGCGCATTTTTAAAACTCAAGCAAGTATTCTATCGAAGGTTTTAAATCAGAAAACTTTCATGCCCCCCTGATATTTCCCATATAACATTATAACCTAGAGATTGAAGTCCCAAGTGAGCACCTTCACTTCTGCGACATGCTGTTTGAAAGGCATCCCTAATAATTGAAGAGCCTATAATCCAAACATCCGACATTTTACAGTCTGAAATAAGTTTGATTATATATTCAGTATTGTGTACCTATCCATTTAAATTAAATAATAATCAAGTAATGTTATCAAAAAACACATGTCAGGCACATAATGTCAACTATGTGGTAACAGTTATAAAATTTTTTAAAGACACATAATGTCAGGCACATAATGCCAACTGGGTGTTATAAATTTTTAAAGACACATAATGTCAGGCACATAATGCCAACTGGGTGTTATAAATCATTAAAGACACATAATGTCGGGCACATAATGCCAACTGCTTGTTATTCATTAACACATTTTAAAAAAAAAACAAAAAAAAACACAATATCAGGCACATAATGCCAGGCACATAATGCCAATATATACAACATCTTTTTATTACAACAGCATTAATTGCTCTATTTGATACATTAATGTGTATTAAGACCCGGTAACGGTTTCTTAATACAAATACATATTTTATTTTAATAGCCAAATTTCGGATCGCCGGCATTCACATTACAGCCATTTTGGCAGATCCTAAAAAAATAAGTTTTTTGAAATAGCATAAACTTATCGGATGTAGGATTTGTAAGCGTTAGATCGCCAACGGCCTCTGTATTTTATATCATTGATAGCACAACCCTCACGGAACATATTAGAAGCTCCGCCGATTCGAAAAGAGTGTGCTTTAAATTCATTTTTTTCTTGACCTATCAAGTTCAAAGTCCTTTTTAATACTGAATTGAATTGAAAGGATGTTAAGGGACTTCCATCGAAATGGCAGAATAACGGCCCTTGCACTTTACTTCTAAAATGTAAAAACTCTTTCAGTTTTTCATAACAGAGTTTGTTTTGGTCAGTTTATCGGAATATCAATAGAACATCCTACATATCTCTGGTCTGTTTTTTGAACATCTAAAATACAGTCTGATGAGATTTTTGATTGATCGTTACGTCATCTACATTTAAAACTACCTTTTTTGATTTCTTTGAAGGCAATGCAAATTCGCTTATTCTTAACAGACCTATGTAGGCAAGACAGAAAGCAGCAGAAAACATTAAACACTCATATTGTGATCTGCAAGCGTTAGGTAGGGCTGATAAAAGCTGTATCAGTACATTTTGTGTTATCGGGTGTCTTGTGTCATGTCTTTTCGATAATCTACGGAACCCTTCTAGCATACTTTTTGACTATGAATTGTTTTGTATTGTCAACCAAATTGTTTATTTTATTAAAATAACTTATTGCTGAAACGTGAACAGCTACTGTTGAAAATGAGTATTGACGTAAAGACATGTATGCAATATATTCCGTTATATCTTGTACAACTGGCGGCCAGTTTTGAGAGTGTCCCAATTTTGCCAAAAATTCTTCAAATGATTTTAAACCTGCAAGGTAGGCTTTATGTGTACTTTGACTAAGTGCAGCATTGATTAATCGCTCTTTCTCTATTTGAAGATCGCATGAAATGCCTCTGGGATTGGACATGGGTCTGATGCAGCGTAGTCCGGTAGAACTTTGGCCACTTTCTGCCACTGAAAACGGCTAATAGTGTCACATATTTTATTTTTGTACCCCGATATATGCTTTGCTTTCACTTGAATATTATTGGTTAAAAGCAAAAGTACGAAATGGCGGATGAGTACCATAACTAGTTTATTTTTTGATGACTTTTTATTTATGATCTCCACTAATGCATTATTATCGGACCTTAGCATTATCTTTTTGTTTCTTAATTCTTTGCCCCAAGTATAAAATGCCAGTATAATAGGGACCAATTCTAAATATAAGTAACATTTTTAAAAGTAGAATCGTCCCAACCGCCTGGCCATTTAAAAGCCACCCAGTTGCCCTGAAAGTATGCTCCGCAACCAAGGTTCTTATTGCCAGATGCGTCCGTATATAATTCTAAATGGCAGTTATCTGCCCAATTTTTTTCTGTAAACATAACATAACCATTGAATTTTTCAAGAAATGTTAGCCAAATATTCGCATCTTCTTTCATGCCTTGGTTGACTCTAATAAAATGGAACGGTTTCTTTACATACGACATGGCGTCATAAAAACGTCTATTAAAGGCACGACCACTGGGAATAGCTTTTTGATATAAAATTAAGTAGACCAACGACTGATTGTAAGTCTTTGAGTCTGATCTTTTTTAGCGTTTCTTAAACAAACGAGACAGTTTTTCGCTTTCCTTATTTTTTCTAAAGGCACCCTCACCATTTGATTGATTGAATCAATTTCAAGACCCAGGTATGTTATAGTTGTAACAGGTCCCATCCATTTTTCGACACTTAGGGGGACACCAAGTTCATTGCAAATTTTATCAAAAGTTTGCATTAAATTCAAGCATTTTTCAAAAGATTTTTCTGCCATAAAAAAATCATCTAGCAGGTGATCAATATAGTATGATTTTGATACTTTAGACACAAGCCATTGTAAAAACTTTGAAAATTTTTCAAAAATAAAACATGAACATGATGCGCCTTGTGGCAGCATTTTTTGAGTCCAATATCCCTCTTCGGTTTTTATACCTAATAAATCAAAATCGCCTGGCCATATAGGGCATAAATTAAATGCAGAAGAAATGTCAGCTTTTGCCATAAAAGCAGAACCCCCTATTTCTTGAACTATTCTTACTGCATTGTCGAATTGTGAATATTGAACATGGCAAAATTCTGGATCGATAAATTCATTTATACTGTTGCCTGGTGGGTATGAAAGGTGCGTTATTAATCTGAAACCACCGTTTTGTTTTGGTACGAGACCTACGGGATTTATTCTAAGATTAGTAATTGGCTGGTTTTTGAACGGTCCTAGGATTCGCCCAAGTAAAAATTCGTCGTGAAGCTTTTTATTTAATAAGCATTTTTGATCAATTGCCGATTTGAGATTTTTGGATTAGAGGTATAAGCACGAGTATGAATTCATTTTTAAAGGGATATATTGCTTAGTTTAGTGATTGGTTAATTAAACTAATATGTTGAGAAATTTAATTATTAAAACATGTACATTGGAGGAGAAGTAATAATAGAAGAGAAAAAGAGATAAGGAACAAGAGAAAGAAAGAAAGTCACTTTACTACTATGGAGTTGGAGGACCGTTTTCTTTTCAAACGAATATTATTATGTATCAAATCTTTTTGTTTTTTGTATGTATTTATGTATATGTGATATAGTTGTTTCGTTTTGAGCACCGGTAAGTGAATTATCGCCGTGTAGTAAATTATTCAATGTTACAGTTTGTGATTTGACTTAAATTGTTTATAAGGACAGTGCGGTCATCTTGATACATGGGGCAGCGGAGGAAATAGTGTTCTGTATTTTCTATTTCACCACATATACAAAAAGGGCTGTCTATTATGTTTTTAGAAAACAGATGTTCTTTCAGAGAGCTGCAATGTGTTCTTAGTCGTGTATGTATTATTTGATATCTTCTTTCACCTATATAGTAGTGAGCTGGAACTTTTTGGACATCTTCATTTAGTCTTTTTTTGAAAATTGCAAGCGATGGTGCATTTCTTAATTCGACAGGGAGATCATTCCAGTCTTTAATCGAAGATGGTAAGAATGAATTTGAATAAAGTTGAGTTTGACAGAAAATATTTCTAGTGTTACTTGCATTTCGTAAGTTGTATACTGAAGTTTGTCCTACTGTGTTTGGAACTATGGAAGATAGATATTGTGGAGATAGGTGATTGAACATTTTATATAGCAGAATTAGTTTGTGTTTATAGCGTCTTACTTTTAGGGGTTGAAAACATGTGTCTTCATACAGATTTGAGAAAGAAACAAGTTTCGTTGTACCAGTTATAATTCTGCAGGCTTCAAGTTGGATTTTTTCTAACTCGAATTCATCTTGTTGAGTAATATTATCCCAGACTACATCTGAGTATTCAAGAAGAGGCCGGATGAAAGAAAGATATATAGTTTCGAGTGATCTACGATCAGTGATGAATTTTAAAGACCTCATAATATTAAGTCGTTGCCATGCCTTTTGTGATATGTTCATTATATGGGTATGCCAAGTTCCTTCAGATGAAAAAGTTACTCCAAGATGTTTGTGAGTGGTCACCTCATTTATTTGTATTCCGTTCATACTAAGGGGAGGATGAACAGGTTTATTAACCTTACGGGAAAAAATGACAGATTCAGTTTTATTTGGATTGAAAGTGACAAGCCATCTGTTTGCCCATACAGTAATTTTTATATTTTTATATATATGGTTTATTTACTTGGTCATGCTATATTATGCAAATTAATACGTTGCTCTCGTTACAATACGTTACTTGAACAAACATGACACTCAAAAAATCTTGTAGGGTTTATAAGTGTTTCTGGTTTTTTTTTTCTTTAACCACTTTAACCACAAGGTTAGTTTTTGTTAAACGTGAGTGACGAGAAAACGTTTAACCACCAACCACCATAGGGTAACCATTCTGACTTTCAATTACATAAAAAAGAGAATATTTTGTGCAATGTACTGTGTTTTATTCAGATTGTGGAAACCTAACAGGTATCAATATAACTAATGTCGTTCACAGACGTCTAAATAATGATACAAAATTTGAATCAACAGCAGATATAGACTGCGATGACGGATATTTTATTGAAGGTAGAAATCAAACAGCTGGAATATCAACCCAACAAATAACATGTTCTGATAAAGGAACATGGATCAATATGCCAGTATGCGTACCTAAAGGTATGAAATTCATTTTTTCATACATAAATTATTCTTATTTTTATAACGTTTTATTTTTATTATACTTATATTTCTCTTTTTGTTCAATAAATGATCATAAACTATGTTTGTTTTTAACATGTTTTGAAAAGTATTAATGATTTACATTTTTGACATTTGTTTCAGATTGTGGGAGATTGGATGAACTAAATTTAACAAATGCTGAAAACAGAAGTCTGATCAACAGAACCACAATATATACGTCGCTTGCGAATATAAGTTGTGATGAGGGATATAAAGAGTTAAATAGTAGCCAGGTATCAGGAATAACAAGTACTGTGATTAGATGTAACGAAAACGGAACGTGGGAAAATCTACCGAAATGTGTCAGGAAAGGTATTTATTCATTTATTTGTAATTTAACTGTTTATTTAACTTATTAAGACCGCTTTCACTTTTATATAGTTCATTTTAATTATAATGATACGGCTTAGAAAAAATGTTTAATTATTTTCATTTATATTTGTGTTGCGATAAAGGTGTTACAATTATTGCTTATCCTTAATAAATAAATATTTCATGGATAATCATACGTTACATGAACAACAGTTTCATGTAGGTTTATGGTTATTGTACCTATATTTGCTTATTTTCTAGCAAACGTGTTATAGAGATGAAAAATATAAAAAAGACTATGTGCTTTCTTTTATCATGATTAAATATTATAAGTTAATATACGGGCTTTTTTGAAATCATGGGTATCGTAAACTAAGATCGGAAATCAATTCATAAATAGCTAATATTCAAATTTATCAGACATGTCTTTTAGATTTGGAATTGTTAAAGTATATTAGCCAAAGTATAGTAAATGCAAAAATATGTTTATCATTAAAAGTTTATATTTTTGTTAATAAACCAATGTTATTTAGGTTAATTACTATCGTTTCTGAATCGAATGACATCGACAAAGCTTTTAAACAATGTTAACCAAACGTCAAGACATGACATTGCCAACTTGTTTGATTTACAGAAAACTGTTTGTTTATTTCTATTTGTTTATCAGTTATGGTCATACATGGTCAATATGCTTGGTCATGCTATATTGCATGCATTTTAATACATTGCTAATCTTATTTTTTGTGTTAAGATTGCGGGACTGTGAAGCAACTTAACCTAACAAACCTTAACCTATCATCGGTACAACTGCATGATGACACCGTATTTAACTCAACGGCAGATGTAGAGTGTGAACGTGGTTACTATAACGAACATGGCACTCAAACATCTGGACTGTCAACAACTACACTAACATGTTCAACGAAAGGAAACTGGGAGAACCTTCCATCTTGCATACCTAAAGGAATGTACTGTTTAATACAGACACTTTAATATATACTATATTTTTTGTTCTTTTTACAATAATGTCTCCAACAATTTTGGGAGACATATTGTTTTTGCCTCCGCCGTCTGTCTGTCCGACCGTCTTGACGTCCTACCTAACATTTTGGGTTTATATGACTATGGAAACAATAGGTCACAATTAGTTTTTCTTTGATCATTTTCATTCAGAAAAGTTTTATGTGGCTTTTTTGGTTAAATGTGGCTTTTTAATAACAATGGAAAAGTCACATAAAACCAAAATCCGCCCGTCCGTTGAAAGCTATTCTCCCACATAAAATGGGTCTAAAAAGATCAACATATTTCTTTACAGTTATTAAATATACATAGAAGTAAAATTTGCAATTTCCACGAAATCACTTTGTCCAAACGGTTGTTATGTCTCACTTTACGTAAATGAAACATCCCTGTCATCAATCCGTTAACATGTATCGAGCAGGACAGCTTATTGCAAGTAAAACTTACTATATAAATGTCGATTTTAAACTGGATTACCGAAATATGTTCACTCTTTTTCTTTTATTTTCTTTCATTGATTTATTGTGCAGCAATCGATTGCAGGATAAAAAACTTGTCAAGCGCACAATTGTTTCACCCGCAACCAACGGATCTACTTGCAAAAAGTTAACGGTTGTGTTTATAATTTAAGTCCATATTTACAAAATAAAAAGTGGTAACAGTTTAAAATTACTAACCCTAGTTGTGCATATGGCCGGCATGTTTCGCTTCCCTGAAGAAAATGGCCGCCAGAGCTATAGATGGCTAAATATGTTTTCCGGCTTTCACAGGTGAATTACTACTGAAATATCCATGAAACTTTACAGGAGTGATCAGTATCACCCCTAGTTGTGCACATGGCCGGCATCTTCCGCTTCGCTGCACAAAATTGCCACCAGACCTTAAAATAGAAAACTTTATCCGGCTTTTACAGGTTAAACTGCTGGGAGTAATTCTATAAAATTTCACAGGAGTTATCTGTGCCATCCCTAGTTGTGTATCTTGCTTGCACGTTGACCTTCGCTGCACTAAATGACCGCCAAAGTTATAAACAGAAAAATATTGTCTGGCTTTCAAAGGACAAATTGCTGGTGGAATCAATTAAACTTTACAGGAGTGATCAGTGCCATCCCTATTTGTGCATTTCACCGGCTTATTTTGCTTCGCTACGCAAAAGCTTAAAATAGAAAAGATCGTGTCTGGCTTGCACAGTTCAACGTGCTGGGGGATTTAAATTGAACTTTACAGGAGTGATCAGTACCATCCTTAGTTGTGCGTATCGCCGCCATGTCTTACTTTTCTGCAAAGAATGGCTGCCAGAGCTATAGTCAGAGAGATCTTATCCAGCTTTCATAGGTCAAACTGCTGACAGGATTTTGACATTACTTTACAAAATTGATCAGTGCCATCCTTTGTTGTTCATTTCGTTGGAACGTTCTGCTTCACTGCACAAAATGACCGCCAGATCTTTAAATAGAATAATCTTGGTCAATTTGCTGGCGGAATTTCAACCACACATAACAGGAGTTATCACTATCATACCTAGTTTTGGGAGACATATTTTATATGACTAAAACCATTTTAGTTTAACAAATAAATTTCTTATATTTTTTGAGATTTTGTTCCCTGTGACCTTTGCTATTTAATTCTTATTTCAAATTTAATTGAGAATATTATTATTAGCATTTCATAATATTTTTATTCTTATGTCATAACAGTATGTGGAAAACTAGAAAACATAAGTTTGACTAACGTCAATGAAAGGAATTATATTAACGACACAGTGTTTACATCAATCGCAAACATTAGCTGTGATGTTGGTTTTAAAGATAAAGATGGAGACCAAACCGAAGGAACATCAACAAAGATAATAACCTGTCGTGAATCAGGCGATTGGACGAATTTACCGACCTGTGTCAGAAAAGGTAACTATCTAAAATATGTACACTATAATAAAGCAAAATACAGTTTATTATTGAAGTCATAACTATTCAAGTAAACGCAAAGATTTGTGATAGCATTTTGTTTTATAAATAGAATAGACGACGTCATGATATAATGAATTCTAAAAGTAATATAACAATTACGAATAATAATAAAATACGAGTAGTCCTTCGAATGGCGATTTTGGTAATATAATATTTCATGATTGTGAGGAAAGAAATATGTGCCATTTCTAATTGACTTGCATGTAACTCATTCGGAAAAACTCGACTACACACTGTCCTGAGATATGTTTGAATACAGCTTATAATGATACCTTTTTTAAATTTGTTCAATTTTTTCATCGGAAAAGACTAGATGTAGATAAATTCAATTATTTTATAATTATATACGTGCATTATAATTTTAATATGATAAATGTTCTCTGGTGGTGCAGATGAGAAATGTTCTCTGGTGGTGCAGATGAATAGAGTAAATATTTGAAAATATTACTCCTGCTTACTTCATGAACATTTAGAATCGAAATGCTCGGTTCTTATTTCTTAAAATGTTTTTTGTTATCATTTCAAAAAACAGAGAAATCAGTTCGAATCTAACAGATTGGATTGTATTAGTCCTTTTGCAACTAATTTCATTTCTAGCTTATAAAAAGTCGTTAACGAGTGTCACGCAATTGCAGTCTCTATAACAAACACAAAACCGTTTTTAAACTAGCATGACAAAATTGTGGAGTTTAATTCACAAGTATGAGATTATATAAAAAGGAAGCAAAATGATGAAAAAGAATTCAAGTTACTTTTTTGACGTTACATTGGAGTAAAACCTTTTCGTAGAATTCATGTATTTGAAAATTCTAATGTGTTTGTAGATTGTGGAAGTGTTACACATTTAAACATCAGTAATGCAAATATTAGACGTCAAAAGAATGGTACAGAGTACATGTCAATTGCTGAAATAGACTGTGATACTGGATTTTATAACAAGAACGACAACCAAACAAGTGACATATCAACAACAAATATAAAATGCTCTGCCAGCGGAAAATGGATAAATATGCCTACATGCGTCCTTAAAGGTAGCAACATCAGTATCATCTAATTATCAAGCGTTCAAATTTATTATAAAAAAGGCTTAAGATGTTAGAGGACAAATAAAGTGAACTCATTTTTTTCATACTTGATAATTTTCTCAGAAATTTAAATAGTGATTAAAGGTGATAGTTTTAGTACGTAACAGCAATTGTAATATAGTCAAAAAATTGATATTACTTGTTTGAAAATTTTAAGTAATTTATTTTGAAAATTTTAAGTAATTTATAGATCTTTTTGAATCAACTAAATAAATATGGCTATATTTTGTCAGAAAGACTATAGTATACCTTATATATTGTCAGTACTTATAATGAAGTGATGATTTCGCAAAGGGTTAATGATGACAAGTTCATAGGAAATTCCATCCGATGTTTTCAAAAATTCGCTGTAAACAAAAATGCCAGTATTCAGTGGCGACGCTAATGCTGCGCAATTAAAGTAATTCGAGTCATTATCGCGATGTAACTTTTAATTTTCTGTTTGTTGATCCAATGATACCAAAATCGAAAGAAATATGCCATTAAGAACAAAACGCAATAAACAATTTACGTCAACACGTAGTTAACCATCTATGATGTAGAAATACATTGCCATTTGAACGTTCTTAGGTTTGTCATGGTATAAACAGCATATTATAAAAGGTTTTTAAGCCAACCAGAAATTAATTTAAATCTTATTATATTGAATATCTAAAATAGTAAACAGCAAGCACTGGTAACTTACCTTTCTGACAAATTTTCGGATTAATGTTAAATTCTGATAGGCATGGACGGCCGCTTGTACTTTTCTGCATCGTCCATGAGCATGCTTCATCAAACCGAGCATGCAATACATGTACTTTAAATTTTGACTTTTTGGCTCTTTACGTAAGAGTTTTTCTATTGTACAATAATTTTACTCTTTGTTTTTTTGTGTTCAATTTGAAGATTGTGGGAAATTATCTTCACCGTCAAATGGTATAATCAGCTATGTCTCAAACATGACTACATTTGCATCTAAGGCAGTGTATATATGTGACAATGGCTATCAATTGAATGGGTCTGACACTATAGAATGCAAGAATACTGGGAAGTGGAGCGATTATACAACATATTGCCAAATAAAAGGTATGACATTTTTAGTATTATAATACTGATTTATAAATTCCATTATCAATACTTTTTTAGAAAAATACACAAGATGAGTTATTTTTAAGATACAGAAATTTATTGTTTTCGGTCATCAAAATGTCATGCATATCTAGTAAAAAAAAGTCTTGTTGTCACTCTAGTAGCTACTGTTATCTTCCAGCCACTTGCCGGTACTGGCTTTTGTCCAAATATCCTGAACATGTGTCAGAAAGGTAGTTAACGCTAATTTATATCTCAGGTTTGCATATAAGTCAGCTGGGATAAAACAAATAGTTCACACAGACAAGATATTGACCTTTTTCATGCTCTAAAGGCTACTGTTTTGGCCTAAATATTCTGGAAATTGTAAATAAAATGTCTAGATACATTTTAGCTCAATTTTGTAAATGGGTCTCTTGGAGTTGAGGATTAGGCCACACCACATAAATATGGAAATACCTTGTGAATCAAATGGAAGCTACTTATTTTTTTCCGGTGCAAAATAAACCCAAAAGAAACAACAACATGAAAACTGGCCAGAAAGGTTGTCAAGATGATAACTAGTCGAAGTTCGAATATCTGTCATCTTGGGTAAAAAAACTAGACACAGCCCAAACATCGAAAAATCTTATAAAACACATGGGATATCATTTTCAGCCAAAATGTCTTATTATATCAGAAGGGTTGTTGCAATGATTTCAAGTACAAGTTAGAAAATGGTTTACTTTTGGTCATAAACTAGTTAACAAAGCCCAAATATGAAAAAAAACTATTTAACACTCCAAAAGATACATGTTCTATCGAAGTATCCCATAAAAACTGTAAGATAATTTCTATCGCAAGTTCAAAAGCAGAGGAGGGTTCCTCTTGGGTCATAAATTGGACCACAGCCCAAATATGGATGAAAAAACATTGTTAATAAACTGCAAGACTACAGGTTACATTTGTGTCCAGTATATCATGATATATTGTCAGAAAGGTTGATACGATAATGTCTAGCCCAAAATTGAGTATCATTCTTCTGCTTTCAAACATTTTGTCACACAACTTTGGAAAAGCCTTGTTAACTCTTTTGAGATTTTTATTTTTTATTCCAAAATCAATGGTAATATGTCAGAAACGTTGCACCTATGATTTCTTGGTCATGTTCGAATATGGGTCATCGAGGCTCAAAAACTGGGTCGCACAGCTTAAATTATTGAATTTTGTACCTGCTTTCATTCAGGGCTAACAATATTATTTTCCATGTCATTAAAAGACTTATTATATAAATAATTACGGAACGATATATTAAGTGCCATCATGTATAGTGAGTTCCTTGTGAAAAGAGATACAAGCTTATGCTGGAAACAATAATCCTCATCTTAGTTTAGTCAAATATGAAAAAATGGATAAGGATAGATTGATTTAATTCTTTCCAAAGTCATGTAAATTAATATCCTTTGAATTGTATAGACTGTGGAGTAGTATTACCCCCTGCAAATGGTGATATAGTATTGCATCAGAACAGTACAGTTTACGGTTCAAATGCTACATACATCTGTGATGAGGGCTACAACATGATTGGTCAAGCAAACATAACATGCGAAGCTTCAGGAAACTGGGATAACAAGACAACCTCTTGCAAAATAAAAGGTTTGAATTCCACTGTATTTAAACGAACAAAAAGCTTGTGAATTTCAGATTAAATTGTTTCATTTTTATACAAAACGTATCATATGAAAACTCAAACTCTGAGCAAGTAAGATGTTAAGACTTTTGAGATAGATTAGACTATGTATTTTACTAAATAATGAAACAAAAAAGCAGCTTTGATATTTTAGTTCACACTTTCAAATACAGATAAAGAAAACAAATTTAAACTTTGTATTTCTTAAACTGTGTCGTTTCATTTTTTGCGTCACCCGAGGATGATGATGATGAAGGAGAAAAAGTTTCATATTGAATTAAATCACATATGGTCTTTGAGCATTCATCAATAAAACACATGCGATCAATGAAATGATATATTGCAAAATGGCAATAATGAAACATACATGTTGTTTTGTAGGATAGATAACCTTAAAACTACTCATTAATTACCGCTTCGTTATCATATTCAAAGAATTGAAAGATAAAATCAGACGGTTTTATTCTGCATACATGTTTAATAATCATGTAAAACTGTAGAATACGCCTTTAAGAGAACAATTAATGCAATATAAGTATTGAAACATCAATACCTTAAAATTATTCAAAAATTCGTCATTGATCCCTGTCCATTCAAAACTATCCAATAGGATTATATTTTTATTCTTTCATTTTAATCGTACATGCCATTAAAAGAGAGGGTCAATTCAAAATCTGATGAATTAAAAGTGAAAATTGAAAATATTGATGTAGTTATCATTTGGACGCATATCTTTTTTAAACCAAAACAACGATGTACACGTATCCTGATAAATTGATAACATTTGGTACGAGCTTTATTTTAGATGAATTTATTAAATGATATAAAACAAAATTCCGGAAACAAAGTGATCTCTCGGAAGCATTAATCACAACAAAAGTACATATGAATTGCAGTCTCGGTTTGATTGAGTCTGTACATGAAAGATAATGAATAAGTGCAACATCCCTCACGCCCCCTAGCACCGGCTTGAGCGGTACTCAATTCTCAACCTTTAAGTCAGAGATACATGTATACATGTAGTCAATACTGAGATACATTACTCGTAAGCACAACTGACTTAAAAAGTGAAATCAATTTAAGATTACTTTACAAAAGAAAAGAATTATTGTTGTTTTCATTGCTTCCGGGACATTGCCACTTTTCCACAACAACAGGTGTGACGTGTGGTAGCTGTAAAACGTTGCCATGTACTTCACTTTAGTGTTGTATTTATTTTATTTATTTTTTGGTTCTACAGTATTATTGATTCCAGCATAATTAGCGTTGAAGATTGAATACCGGTTAAGCCGGTGCTAGGGAGCGTTAACGATGTTACAAGTTTATAATATCTTTCATGAACAGACTCAATCAAACCAAGTCTGAAATGTTCATATAATATTGATGTTTTCATAGCCACCTAAGGAACATCCTTTTTCCAGATTTGTATCCCTTTATAAATTTGATTATTATTTTTGGTGTTTTAGACTGCGATTCACCTGAAGGACCAACAGACGGAAACGCTACTGCAGTCAATGGAACAACTTACTTGTCGATTGCAAAATACGTGTGCAACGAAGGATTTGATCTAAATGGATCAGATACAAGAATTTGTCAGGCCAATGGTTCATGGAGTGGAAGAGTTCCAACATGTGAAATAAAGAGTACGTAATTTGTACATGTTATTTCTTTGAATCCACTATATTGCATTTTCAATATAGTACTGTCAGATCATTCTTCTTTAACAAATTTGTCTTTACAATGCCATTATATTTGATTAAAGGAAAAAGCTTGAATAAAAAATAATCATGATTTGTTTTTTCTTTAAAATATAAGATTTCATACAAATATACAATAAGATAAAAAAAAATATACAAATGTAGTTTAACCGTATGTCTAAGACAGGTATGTTTTAATTGATTTTAGAGCGATGTTGTAGGACATGTTTGGGTTCATAGGCACAGAAATAAAATCACGAAAATTACGTTGATTGATTTGATCAACAATATGTTATTGTACTACGATACTTAAATAAATTCAATCTGATTTGCGCATGGAAGTGGTTGCTTTGGTAAGCGGTCTAAAACAATTTGCATTTTTGGTTATAAGCCGGTGGTCGCGAGTTCAAATACCAAGTGCCGGAGTGGTCATTTCATTTTATTTCTGTGCATGTGAACTTAGATCGCGTTTTCAACATATTTTGTTGGGTCAAATGAGTTTAAAAGTGTCATATTTGTTTTGTAAGACTGTGGTGCCATTCAAAATCCAACAAATGGCAAGGTCAACACAGAAAATGGAACTGAATATAAGTCTGTAGCCACATTCATCTGTGAAACGGGATATACGTTAATTGGTGATAACATGACAAGTTGTGAACCATCAGGAAACTGGAGTATTTACAGTCTCAATTGCACTATCAATGGTATGTATCGTTATTGTTTCTTTTTTACTTGACATAAATCCATATTTCAGAGTCTGGTAACTAAATGCTTCACACTATCAATGTTTAACCTTTCCGAAACGTCTCTTTTAAATTTCCTTTTAAACCATTTAGTTATAATCATATATTGATATATACGTAACTCCGATATCTTCAGATTGCGGACATCCAACAAAGCCAATGAATGGTTCTGTTGAAATATCGAATGGAACAACATATCAGTCATTAGTGACATTCAAATGCGACGTAGGTTTCGAAATGAATGGAACGAATACATCTGAATGTCAAGCTAACAGTAAATGGAGTAATGAGGTCCCACAATGTATCATAAAAGGTAAATGAAAACAAATACTTGTATAACGTCAGCTTTAATCCGATTATTATGACATTAAAATAAGTTTTATATTTTTCCATGTCAAATTAATGAAAGCAAAACTAAGAGTGACAGTTAAAGTAACTCCGATACTTTCAGATTGTGGACCACGAACAAAGCCAATAAATGGTTCTATTGAAATATCGAATGGAACAACATATCAGTCACTGATGGCATTCAAATGCGACGTAGGTTTCGAAATGAATGGAACGAATACATCTGAATGTCAAGCTAACAGTAGATGGAGTAATGAGGTCCCAAAATGTAACATTAAAGGTAAATGAAAACATCGGATAATTATGACACTAGACCATGATATATATATATATATATATATATATATATATATATATATATATATATATATATATATATATATATATATATATATATATATATATATATATATATATATATATATATATATATATATTCGTGTCAAATTTGAAAATCAGAATGAATAAATACAATATGAAAAATATGTATTAAGATCATGTAATTATTGAGCGAGTGCATTCGAATTACATTTATCACAGAATAGGAAACTTTTAATAATCTTTTACTGACTGTTCTGTTATATATGAATCTACCAAATTAGATATATCGTTCGGAAGCAGTTGCTTACGGGTTGACAAATATTAGCAGTATACCAGAAAGGTATAAAATATTTTTTTCCAATTTGATAACTTTTTTTGTAAAAATTAGTGTTAACGTAGGACGGAGAGTCTCAGTTCGATATCGCAGGACCGTCGGTGTAACTATAACAAATAACAAAACAAATGAAAATTAAAGCAAATGTTACTTTTATGAATTGTATTAGATATATAAGACATCAAAATTTCATAGTTAATGTACATATAGAATGAATGAGGTGGGAAAATAGAAAAAAAATGGAAAAACTTCCGAAAAAGAAAAAATAACGGCTTACCGCAATGGTGGTCGGAGCGCTTCTCATCCTATATGACGTCAAATTTCAAGTTGAAGTTTGACGTCATTAAGTGATGTCATAAACATGTCCATTGACAAAACACTTGCTAAAAGCAATTAACACACAAAATGAGATAAATTTAAGTTGGCAAAAGTGCCAAATAAATCCGAATACTTTAAGTAAAATAATTTTACTTAAACAGGAAAATTGACCGTATTGTGTTTCAAAAGTACTAGTGATTGTATAGTATTGGTATTACCACAATAGAGTAAGACGTCAGATATAAATAGAACTATAGTAGATAAAATTTGCAATCGAATCAAGGAAGTAAACTCGAAGTCTTAAAGTTGAGAACAGCGATGACGCTGTATGATATCATTTAGTTACTTGGTTATATCACGTAAGCCTGATTTGGTTTTGATTAATTTTATACTATTTTGTCATAAACAGCGGCACCGATTACTTAATTGAACGTTAAAGATCTTCCCTAAATATGTCCATCTATAACTTACTTTCTTTGTATATTGTCTCAGACTGTGGTGACCCGAAATGGCCAAACCAAGGGAAAATTTTATCCAAAACAGGCAATAAATATAACGATAACGTTACATACAGCTGTAACCAAGGATACGAAACATCTGACCCCGTTTTGGTCACATGTAACTCAAGTGGTAACTGGAGCAGACCTGCCCCTGTTTGCAAAGGTACATACAACATCTGAGATATAAAAAATTATCTCTTAAAGAAACTTTGATAAAGTTGAAATAGATTTAAATAGTAACAGAATTAAGGGTGTTGTTTCTTCTACATGTATTCCGAGAACTAATACAATAACTGATTGGGACAGTTTCGAAATTTTTCGTTCGTATTATAAATTATTTCTATTTATTAGAATTAGTTCACTTTAAATGTTTTTCTTTGAAATGCTTGCATTATTATAAAATGAGAGAATAAAAAAAAGATTGTACATGCCTCGAGTAACAACAGTATTTTCATTGGGATGATATTTTACTGTTGATCAGAACCTAATTGTTACTTATATACTATTTATAAACAACTTATATCCATTTAATAATACACGTAATTGTGCACTTTATTTAAGACATTAATGAATGTACTCGTTACACAAACGACTGTCACTTACAAGCTATATGTAACAACACTGATGGGTCTTACAAATGCCAGTGTCGAGAAGGGTTCACCGATAATTCCACGAATGGGCAGCACGGCCGGGATTGTCAAGGTAATGTATTTATCCGATAACTTCAATATTTCCTTTTTCATTTTAAGATGAAAATTAATAAGAATGTAAGATATTGAAAAAGTGACTCGGGGTCGACCAGAACGTTTGAGCAAATACATCTTTTATGTAAACACATTTTCAATATTTTTTAAGCCCAAAAGGCAACTAACATTACCTAGTTTTATTGTAATTTTTGAAAAAGAAAATACTAGCGATAACTCTATCAATATTTTATTAGGAAAATATTGGAGGGTTCCATTTCTTTTCAGATATATGTATTAATAAGTCCGTTCTTTTTGTTTGATTTCAGTAGTCCTGTAATAAAATTGTATCGTATTCCATTTGTGGGTTTCACTGATGACTTTCACTTTATATAATATTAATTTCAGTAATTGAAGATCACCCATTGTATATCACTCATATTATTTCACTCACTGATACCCAATTATTGTCTAACTGCAGGTCACTCATTGTGTACCAGTCAATGATTATGTGTATACCACTCACAGTAAATCAATCATTATAGATCAGTTACCGTATACTACTCACATTCAATCACTCATTATAGATCAGATACTGTATACCACTCACAGTAAATCACTCATTATATACCAGTTACCGTATACTACTCACAGTAAATCACTCATGATAGATCAGTTACCGTATACTAGACACAGTAAATCACTCATTATAGATCAGATACCGTATACTACTAACAGTAAAACACTCATTATAGATCAGATACCGTATACTACTCACAGTGAATCACTCATTATATAGATCAGATACTGTATACCAATCACAGTAAATCACTCATTATATACCAGTTACCGTATACAACTCACAGTAAATCACTCATTATAGATCAGTTACCGAATACTACTCACAGTAAATCACTCATTATAGATCAGATACCGTATACTACTCACAGTAAATCACTCACTATAGATCAGATACCGTATACTACTCACAGTAAATCACTCATTATAGATCAGTTACCGTATACTACTCACAGTAAATCACTCATTATAGATCAGATATTGTATACCACTCACAGTAAATCACTCATTATATACCAGTTACCGTATACTACTCACAGTAAATCACTCATTATAGATCAGTAACGGTATACTACACACAGTAAATCACTCATTATAGATCAGATACCGTATACTACTCACAGTAAAACACTCATTATAGATCAGATACCGTATACTACTCACAGTGAATCACTCATTATATAGATCAGATACTGTATACTTCTCACAGTAAATCACTCATTATATACCAGTTACCGTATACAACTCACAGTAAATCACTCATTATTGATCAGTTACCGAATACTACTCACAGTAAATCACTCATTATAGATCAGATACCGTATACTACTCACAGTAAATCACTTACTATAGATCAGGTACCGTATACTACTCACAGTAAATCACTCATTATAGATCAGTTACCGTATACTACTCACAGTTAATCACTCATTAAAGATCAGTAATATCACTCGTTATAGATCAGTTACTGTATACCACATACAGTAAATCACTCATTATAGATCCGTTACTGTATACCACTCACAGTCAATTACTTATTATAGATCAGTTACCGTATACTACTCACAGTTAATCACTCATTAAAGATCAGTAATATCACTCATTATAGATCAGTTACTGTATACCACTCACAGTTAATCACTCATTATAGATCAGTTACTGTATACCACATACAGTAAATCACTCATTATAGATCAGTTACTGTATACCACTCACAGTTAATCACTCATTATAGATCAGTTACTGTATACCACTCACAGTTAATCACTCATTATAGATCAGTTACTGTATACCATTCATAGTCAATCACTCATTATAGATCAGTTACTGTATACCACTCACAATATATCACTCATTATAGATCAGTTACTGTATACCACTCACAATGTATCACTAATTATAGACCAGTTACTGTATACCGCTCACAATGTATCACTAATCATAGATCAGTTACTGTATACCACTCACAGTGTATCACTAATTATAGATCAGTTACTGTATACCGCTCACAATGTATCACTAATTATAGATCAGTTACTGTATACCACTCACAATGTATCACTAATTATAGATCAGTTACTGTATACCGCTCACAATGTATCACTAATTATAGATCAGTTACTGTATACCACTCACAATGTATCACTAATTATAGATCAGTTACTGTATACCGCTCACAATGTATCACTTATTATAGATCAGTTACTGTATACCACTCACAATGTATCACTCATTATAGATCAGTTACTGTATACCGCTCACAATGTATCACTAATTATAGATCAGTTACTGTATACCACTCACAATGTATCACTAATTATAGATCAGTTACTGTATACCGCTCAAAATATAACGCTCATATATCATTTACTGTATATCATTTACAATATATCACTCATTATATCAGTCACTGCATATCACTTATATCATTCATTATAGATCATCACTCACTGTATATCACTCACTTTTTATTCTCACTGCATACCATACACTGCATATAACTCATTGTTTATCACTGGTTTTATATTATTCACTGTATCTCGCTCACCTTTTATCACTCAGTGTATAATATTTCCTTTATATCATTTATATATGAATATCTGAAGTTAATGACAATAATTATTTAAGGTATCCACAGGCACTCCACATATGTCTGTTATTATATAATTTTAGTATTACGTGATATAATTAAATTTTTCCAAAACATAAACAATGTTTTCAGAACACTGTATTTCTTTTTGCGATGCAATTTTAGTTTTCAGTATTGAAATTAATACTGCGATTAGCAGGAACGTATGTCAAAATTAGGACAGCTATGAATGTGTGATTATTGATAACGCTTGATTTGGTAATACCATATAATGTTTGTTTATATCAATATACAGACATAAATGAGTGTGCGGATTTGAAGAAAATTCAATGTGACAAGGATCGTTCACGGTGTGTTAATTACCTCGGAGGGCACGTTTGTTTTTGTCATCAAGGATGGACTGGCTTACACTGTGAAAATGGTAACTAAAACTGAAATTGCATGACAATAAAGTTACATTATGCCCACCCAAGAGTAAATCGCGAGTGGTAAGATCAAATTTAAATGACTTTATATTTTGCCATATTTGTTTTCAATTTAATAATAAACGTCACGTGAGTAATCAAAAATGCCCTTGGCCCAAATGAATATCTATAACTATCGTTAATGTTCAATTTATAAACAGAGTTAGGCAGTGCTTATATATTTTAGGCAGTTTTTATATAATTTATCATAGACTTTGTGATATCAGTTAATATTCAATCACCATTATAGATATATCAATTCTTTTGAAATATATCAGTGAAAGGATGGGCATAATGTCACTTCGAAATAATGTGCTCCATGCATGGAAATATTTGAACATTTAAAAAAACATTAGCCGCAACAAATTTTTTAATTTTTTTATGTTCATAGCTATCAAAATCAGTTTAAGATTCTACGTTAATATTAAATTGTCACAAAATCAAAGAAGTTCAAAGATTTTAAACGGTAATTTATTTTCAAAACTATCTATTGATATTTCATTTCGCGCATGAGTACATTTCGCTTATTATTTCTTAATTGTTGCAATGATAAGGTACGTGAATTCAGTTAGCATATTTTCATGCATATTTATTTTCAATTTACATGTTTTCAAATTGTTTGGGCATTTATGGTTGAGTGGAATGCTTCAAATAAGTTGCCATTATCCGCTATGAGTTATTCTTTTATTCTGTCTGATGTAAGATATTTGAGGTCGATAATTGAAATGATATATTTTACAGATATTGATGAGTGTAACGATACATCTAGCTGCGGGGTAGAAGCGTATTGTACTAATTTTTACGGAGGTTATAATTGCACGTGCAAAAAAAACTTTCCGAAAGGAGATCCGACATTTCATTGCTATGGTATTATAAGATTTACCTATATTTTCCTTGATACTTTGCCACCGTCTTTAATTACATACATTGCTTAAAAGTCAATATTTTTCGTACTTAACTTTAAGTGAAAATATTTTGTTTTTCATATCTAATTGTAGATGAATACGCCTCCATCTTCAAATCGTATCACATAATATGAAGTGTACTTTTTAGGTATATTTTGGTCTATTTCTTTTCAAAGTCCCCTGATGTGATATTTTCAAAAAATCTATCGTTATATCAGCCTGTGTTCATTAAAGATGTTTCACATTTGCATGAGAAAGGCATCAACTGTTGATCAACATTAATTGCAAAGTTTGAACTTCTAGTACATTCGAGCCGCGAACATAGTGCGTTTGCGACCAGCATGGATCCAGACCAGCCTGCGCATCCGCGCAGTCTGATCAGGATTCATGCTGTTCGCTATCAGTTTCTCTACTTGTTATAGGGTTTGTTAGCGAACCGCATGGATCCTGATCAGACTGCGAGGATGCGCAGGCTGGTCTGGATCCATGCTGGTCGCAAACCCATTATGTTGGTTTTGTCGTGACGCGGCTCATTTATTTTATGTTCATAGAAAACGTTATCATTGAATTGGTGACACCTGTAGCACCGTTCAGGGGAGATAATGAGCTGATCACCTCTTTTCCGATACACAACAGGTTTCCGTATTTTGGAACGGAGTATAAATCTTTTAGAGTAAGTCATAACTATCGGACAATATATAACAGTTTTGACAATTTGTTTGTTCTCTAAAGTTGATGCTTGCAAATATTTACACAGCTTTTCAAACGTTTAAAGAATATATGTTAATGTAAAAATATAGTTTTTAATGTTGACATCTTTCATTATACCAGTATGAAAAATATTTGTAAGAATATATTCATGAGAGCGAATGGCGCATGCTCGAAATCACTGCTTAACGTTTAAAACCCTACTAACACTTTGTTAGTGTGCATCTATTTGTATTCTATCTGTAAATTAATAATAAAGATATTTCATCGGATAAAGCTGCCTTAATAGCCTTCCAGATATACATGTAAATATTGAAAGCAATGATCAGAAAGATAAAACATTACTATACAGGTGTGTTCAAGTGCGATTAAAACGTTAACATGGGGGGCGGGGGAACATATCCATAAAATTATGTAGCATAATATGTAGATTTGTTATGTTTCTTATTTACAGCCGAATATGAATGGTTTTATAACACTTGGCTTTCAACCCTTGTATCAGAACTATGGACCAGAAACACCTACTGACTGGAAGACATTTAGCGAAGGTCGGACTGTGATAGCTCCATTCTGGACAAATCTAGACTCTACTAATCTAACTGGAGGTGTTTTTGTCCATCTTATGGAATACTACAGCGGTGATATGAACGATAGTCGACACAAAGACTTGGCAATGCTAGGAGAAATATTTTCAAATAACTTGAACCTTACAGACTTTAATCCGCGTGTCGCTATTGAAGCAACATGGCTGAACGTTACAAAATCATCCTATATTATACCAACAAGACTCATAAAATCTCAAGTAAGTTGAACAATTTTATCATTGAAATGCATAAACAATATAAGGATAACGCATCTTTTCCTTTGAATTATCAGCTGCATGGCAATGTGCATTAGTGCTTGTTTTGCACACACAAAATAATGTTTGTTAATGTTAATAACGCGTTTCAAAATTTGTTTTTTCGTTTTAAAGAATCGGTGGCGTCATGCTTTTCGCTTTCGAGTGCGATGTCATTAGACACTAAGTATTGAAGATGAAACTGCCAGAAAGTTAAGTATACGCACTCGGTCAATATGCTGCATGACTCAGTAAAAACATTCTTCTTGGCAAAATTACTCCTAATCATTTATAAGTCAATACTTGACATATAAATGAGCCGCGTCACGACAAAACCAACATAATGCGTTTGCCACCAGCATGGATCAAGACCAGCCTTCGCATCCGCGCAGTCTGGTTAGGATCCATGCAGTTCGCTATCAGTTTCTCTACTTGAAATAGAGTTGGTAAGCGAACAGCATGGATCCTGATCAGACTGCGCGGATGCGCAGGCTGGTCTGGATCCATGCTGGTGGCAAAACCCATTATGTTGGTTTTGTCGTGACGCGGCTCAAATAACAAATCGGGAGAAATATAGACCAGTCAGACAAATCTTACAGAACTTTTGGTTGTTGCCTTTTCTGCATTGTTTCAAGTTAACATTATAAAACCTATTTTACGGAATGATACGTGAAACAAAATTGAGTTCGTGACCTTCCTGACGACATGCATACAAATCATATACGTTTAGTTATCTCTTTGACTCTCTTATATAATACATAATTGCCAATATGTTATAATCATCGAAAACAGACAAAATATTTGAAACTGTGCTCTGTGTAAAGATTGATTTAAAAATCTGAATTAATTGATATGAAATGGTAGATGTTTTACTACAACAACAATGTGCTATTTAACCTGTACAAACAGTTAAACCTAATAAACGTCGAATTCGTTCTTGCAGAATGTGACAATGCAATTGATTCTAATTTCGGATGGTATATATTCATACCTTATGTTTAACTACGATCATGAGCAGTGGTCACTTAAACTTGACAAGAATATACCAAGTTCTGCCGGCTTTAGTTGTAAAGACAACAATGTTCACATCTTGGCAACAAGCAAAAATGCGAGTTCGCTGAACAACGATACCAACGTTCAATCGGGTAAAGTTAACAGATTGTGTTCCTTTTAAAATGTGTCCTAAGTTAATCTTATATCAATTATTTCAGATAATATCACTTAGTTTAAATGTTTATTTTTCAAATGGTAAGAATGATCACTTATAAAGCATCTTCATCGATTTATAAAACGTTCATGGTTTCTTTCCAAAAATGATGTTCGCTACTACCAAATAAATATGTTCATTACCATGCTCACTATAATTTTTAATAGCTCAAAAAGTGACGTACATTTACTATAATGGTATGCTCTGAATGTATGAAGGAACAGTTTTGCCGTTTTGGGCGTTCTTAAGGCCTTCTGTTCTTTTTTTCTATTTTGGTATAACCTGAAGCTCCGTTAACACTGAATAAAAGTAAAAATAATTTACAGTCAAATATTGGCCAGATACCGATCAAACATTTAGATACAATTTCATATAGTGTTGTAATAAATATAGGACTGGTGCCGATTCAACTATTAAATGCTTTGTGCCGATCCAATTTTAAAAATGTTTTGTTCTTAAATTCCGTTGCTGGCATGTCAGTTATTTATTAGATGCTGACCAAACCTCTCAATGTTGTATTTTCCTCAAATAGTGACGGGTACTTACATATTAAACATAAATAAGGTAATCATAGTCTTTTCCTAGGAAGTTGTGAAGTTGTTACTGTTGTTATTTTTAGGTCCTAATGGAAGGTGGATATTCGACGTTACAGACGATGATCCAGATAAAATTGCCGTTCTAAAAAACGAATCAGAGTGTCTAAAATTTAGTAAAAATGACAAAATACGAAAATGGATAGCGAGACAGCGATTGTTATCGTACGCATGCCCATGTGTCCAGCAGCAGATGGACCTCGATTACAGTTACCATATTGTGGAACCAATGTATGAGCATTCGAGTCCCAAACCAACGTGCTATGAGGCGTGGTTCTTTAACAATGATGGCGTGAAGCAGACATGTTGTTACAGGTATATATTTTTTTCTTTTAGGAAATACTTTTACAAGAAGGAAGTTTTTAGATATAAGTGCACGAATGGCTATGTTTAAAAATAACTAGTCTTTATATATATAATGTCTTGGTTGAAATTATATAATTTTCAAAAAAGAATAAAAAGAAATGCAAAATACAATTGAAACGCAAAGGGAAGAAAGTATCGAGACTGTTTTTTTGTTTGACTTTATAAACACTTACTTCTTATTTTTTGATGTTATTTGACTCCCGAGCTTTCTTCCTTTTCGAGGGATACTCATAAGCATGCAAATGGTTAAAATTTAAGTTGCGTTTAATACGGCGCTCCCAATCAATTACAAACAACGAGTCAGATATATTTTATTTGAAACCTCAAATTAAGATTCTTCATCCGAGGAAAAATAAATAAATACTTTTTTTCTGTTTGTTCTTTTAAGAACAAATATTTAATAATTAATAATATACTTAAAATTGCACTTTCCTCAGTTAACTTGTTAGGCTCATTATTTATTAAGCTGAACTTCTTAATAATACGACGACTTTATAGAACGTTTAACCAGTTATGAGAAACAATGTTGTCATGATTAAGCAATTTCATTAAAAAGTTTTGCAAAATCAGGTTAAACGCTTGGTCATTCCAGTTCGAAGTTGTTCGATGAGATTTAGTTGGATTCCTATGAAACTTTACATATGTTCTAATGTTATTATGTTGAAGTAATACATATTATGCTAAAACGTCTTGCCTCGTGTCAGTTACTCCTTGGACATAAATATTGCACCTATTTTGCTTTTTCTAAGGACTCAATCTGCATTTTAATCGGCTGTGTTGTTATATGGAATATATTATATCATGTTCAAATTGGGTAACGTAAGTAGCAGATCTTTAAAAAACGAAGAAAAAATAAACCGTCAAGAAAAAGAAGTTTGTTATTACCTTAAACGATTTCAAAAGTGTCCAGTGAAGATGAACGCTAGATTATTAAACTATTATGTGTCCTATGCATTTCATTCCAGACCTTTGTATTTATCAGTTGCTATACATTTGTTATACATTTGCCAGAAATTATACGCTTCACTCGAACTGTCTTTAAGCTTCCAAGATACGCTTTTAGAAATAAAAAAACTAAACACTGGCATACAATTGGTAATAATGATTATTCCGCTTACTTTTAAAAGTATCTCCATGTTTTTAAGATCTTTGTCCAAGGACTTTACTTAAAAGGTCGCAAGTGTGTCGTAATCGTTCCTTTTCAATAAAAAGCATAAACTCTTAAAGTCAACAATCATATGATCAAAATAAGTGACGATCATTTTTAAAGTATCTAAACTTTCTTTGTTTTAATGAAATTTATGCAATATAATTAAGGATTTATTGCAAGTAAGATGTAAAACAACTAAGGAAAGTAAACCTAAACATGCATAAATATGTCATAAAGGTAGCAAAATGTAAACGAAAACATATTCACTATTCTTATACAAATTGCCAAATAATCTACAGAAGCAAACGATTGTTTATTAGCTCCTTTTAAGCATGATCATAATAAAACATTAACATGAAGGAAAATGTTGACCATGTCTGAGCTTTAAAGACACGTATCTTCGTCTGATGCCATGCTGAGTGAAATGTTTGCACATGCTTGACTGGAAGGCGATAGAACGATGGTAAAGCGTGGTGACAGTACAGTATAACAATGGTGATAATATGATATCATGATGGTGAAGCGATAGTACGATTCTAACAGTACGATAGTACAATGGTGACAATGAAATGGGCTATCACCATCGTACTGTCATGCTTCGCCACCGAATTATCGTATTCTCACTATCGTACTGTCGCGCTTTTCCACCGTATTAGCATACTGTCACCATCGTACTGTCAAACTCAAAGAAAACTTTCTGGCACAAACGGAATACCGTAGTTTTCAGCGTGGGTGCTAAAACAAACCAGGTCTCGAGGTTATAAAACTTTTTTCTGAGTTTTCTCAAATCCTAGGTTTTTCGTTGGTCTGTGTACATTCTGCGGGAGTTTCTGACCAATCAAACACCCGAGATCTGAGCTTGAACTTAGAAATTTCTTTGTAATCTTGGGCCAAGGAAATCTTGATCTTCTTCATAATGTCAGCATATTGCGCCGAAAGATACCTAGGACAAGGAGGACATAAAAACTGTGTGATACTAGAATTCAAAATTTTTGAAGTTGTATTTATTTTTGTTTTTAGTTATGGCGCTTTAAAGAAGGATTTTACAGGAGGTGGTTTTGCAACTTTCAAGCCAGACACTTACAATATTATACAATATTTCTACATGTGCTGCGACCCAAACACTGACAGACACCTGTGCCATCTTTTTTATGAAATGAATCCGCCTGATGACTGTTCTAGATTTCAACCTGCAGACGAACCCGTTAGCAGGCACAAGCGTTCACTCTTTGGATTCTGGATCAATGGGGCTGGCAAATTATATTTAAACGTTTTGTATATTATTGTTTTACTTCTATCCGTACAGATAATTAACTAACAGAAACAATATACGCTGATATGTATTTTTTGTTGAAAGAATGGAAATTAAATCTTGTTTAGTGAGATAAAAGAAATCTGTTAAAAAATATGAAAACATTTTTTACATAATATGACAGCTTTTAACAACCCTTTACCACTGGATCAAATATACCTCTGTATGAAAAATATATTTTCGTCCGTGTAGTGAAAGTGAACAATTGTTCTTTTTAAGTTATGGATTTACAAAGAAATTGCATTTCTAGTAGTATAAAAATCTCATGTGTGATAAATGAAATGTCGCTGATTTTCTAGACATAAAGAGACTGGAAATACATGTAACCATGTTTTTTAAATTTGTGTACCATTTAACGTCTGGATACAATACAGACGAACAAAGTCATTCACTCGGTCCGTTTATCCAAAATAATTATTTGTATTGTGCAAGCTGCCCCCCCCCCCCCCCCAAAAATAAATGGAAAAAGTTTATAAACGCCTCCACTCATGCTCAGAATAATACAATTATCAATTCAGATTTCTTTCCTAGTGAATTGTCATTATCTTTTATGTATTAATTGATTTGAACCCATTGGAGTTTCTTTGCTTTAATTTAATTTTAGATACAGTTTTCCTGCTGGTTTTCATTTTCTTGCATTGTTTTCTTCATACTTTCATTAATTGCTGTAAATCTCATATGTTGGTATTTTGGTAGGATTATAAAAAACAATTAAGATAATTTCACATTAAAAGGCAACAATAGTTCTAATACTAGCTAACATGTGTAATGTGGGTTTATGAAAATCAAAGAATCTTCGAAACATAATTTAAGGCATTAAAACCACTTATAGTACCCATCACAAATTTTGAAATGCTTATTTCCAATAAAAAAATGGGTTTTAATCTCCCTGTAATTAATTATGTACCACATAACAAAATATGCTACTTTTTTAAAACAAAAAATGTGGACACGTGGTTTATTTCTTGCTCACCTGACCACGAAGTGGACAAGGTTGGGTATATTGATGGGACTATGTCCAGTGTTCGTCGTCGTGCGTTGTCAATATTTTGGGTTGTTAACACTCTAGCAGTCACAGTTTTCATTTGATAATCAAACTTTGTAAGAATGTTTTTCTTAATAAAATACAGGACAAGTTTGAATATGGTCATTTCGAGTAAAAAAACTAGGTCACAGGGGCTAAAAATAGAAAAATCTTGTTAACACTCTATTGGCTGCAGTTTTGATTCAATTATCTTGGAAATAGATAAGGAAGATTATCTGAATGTTTTCTAGGTCAAGTTCGAATATGGGTCATCTTCGGTCAAAACCTATGTCACAGGAGCTAAAAATAGAAAAAATCTTGTTTACACTCTAGTGGTTGCAGTTTTGACCCAAATATTTTGGAAATTGGTCAGGGAGATTGTTTGATAATTTCTATGTCAAGTTTGAATATGGGTCGTCTCGGGTCAAAAACAAGGTCACGAGAGCTAAAAATAGAACAATCTTTTTAACACTCTAGTGGCTGCAGTTTTGACCAAAATATTTTTGAAATTGGTCAGGAAGGTTGTTTTTATGACTCCTATGTCAAGTTTGAATATGGGTCGTCTCGGGTTAAAAACTAGGCCACAGGAGCTAAACATAGAATAATCGTGTAAACACTCTACTGGCAACTGTTTCGATCCAAAAAAATCCTGATAGATGGTGTGAAAATTTGTTTTGATGATTTCTAGGTCAAGTTGGAATACGAGTCACCTGGGGTCAAAAACTAGGTCACACCGCTTGAATATGGTAAAACTTTGTTAACACTCTAATGGTCACATTTTTGACTCTATTGGCATGAACATTGGTCAGGATACTACTTGTCTTAGTAAATGCTCGGATGAGTTCGATGGGTCAGGTGAGCGATCTAGGGCCATCACAAGTTAATTTTGTTAGTTTGTTTGTTTAATTTGATTTTACGTCACACAGACACAGTATAGGTCATATGGCGACATTCCAGCTTTCCTGGTAGAGGAAGACCTCAGACGACCTTCCGTGCATTATTTTAGGCACGAACGGGCACCTGAGTAAAACTACCGACGTTCCGTAAGCTAACTGGGTAGCTTCCTCACATGAATAAATCCAAAGTCCAAGTCGTGATTCGAACCCACAGCGGTGAAGGGAAAGTGTTTTGAAGTCAACGACCTTAACCACTCGACCACAGGCGCCCCTCACAGTTTAATACTATAAACAGAATATGAATAGTTTTACAATTAAATTAACAATTTTCATTTCTTATTTTACACACTAAGGATGTGCTGTTTTATTAAATTTAAATGTTGTGATTTTTTCTCTTCACTTAAAGACTACAACAATCATAAGCATCCAGTAGTAAGCAATATTCACTACTGTTAGGTAGCTCAAATATATTCTTAAGCCTGGTACTGTAACAAACTGAAACGTATTAGCCCGAGGCTGTAAGATGTTGGAATTTTAATAGCTAGCCGCTTTTATAACCGTCATTGTAATTGTAATAGCATTGAGCTTTTAGCAACACGAACTTTAATAGATTGGTATTATAACAACCTTAAAGTTAAAAGATTTGCTCGGTATCATGCTTAGTGTAAATAGCCTCTGAGCTGAGCTGGTTTGTTGTGGATATACCCTGAATTATAATAGCCGTGGTACATTAACAACATACAATTATTATGATACTTGATTGGTAGAGTTAAATGTACGGCATGTATAACTTGACGCCTTATTAATGGAAAGCTTGAGGTTATAACAACTTGAATTGTAAAAGTGCGGTATATTTACTGTTACGACATGTATTTTAATAACTTGGTGTTGTAATAATCTGTATTGTGACAGCATGGTGATTTTACATCATGCGCTATGATAGATTGACGGTGTAACAACTTTACTATAATCTGGCACTGTTATTGGCATTTTAAGGCTGAAACGTTTGATCCGAATTCAATTCTAGAATGACATCACTGCAAGAATGGAATAGATCAATGGAAAACGCTCCATTTAAACAACAAGTTTACACAATTTGAGAAAAATCTGATTTACTTCTTGATATTGATAAACAGTGCCAAAAACTATGACGAGGTATTTTATTGTGTTTACTATAATTACAATGATACAATACATTGCTGGATGGACGCTTTGGAACTTACGCTCGAAGGTATTATATGAATGTAGTTTCTATATTTATTTTACAGGCATAAGTAATAGATATACCATTGCTGCGTTGACGATTTCTGGGTTTGCGTAAATTATACCATAATCACGTGACCTTTCTTATGCCTTAACCACACGAGACTGAAGAGCTATAGGTTAACATGTTATACCCCCTGGCGTCCGTCTGTCTGTCCGTCCGTTAGCAATTTGGTTTCCGGAGCGTAACTTAAGTTCCATTTGGCTTCCAATATTCAAACTTCATAGGATCATTGTCAATATTGGGTAGAAGACCCCAATTGATTTTGGGGTCACAAGGTCAAAGGTCAGGGTCACTATGACCTTAAAACTGAAAACAGTTTCCGGGGCATAGCTTAAGTTCCAGTTGGACCACAATATTCAACTTCATAGTAGGATTGTTCTCTGAATATTTGAAGGAGGTAATACTTTATTTCATTCCAATGTCTTACAAATGCTTCATCTTTCTGAAAAATCACTTTCGGGCATATAATGCTCCACCTAGCGGTGCTTCTGTTTTAGGCTTTAATGCATCTTAAACGAATACACAAGCAATATTGAATAATCATTACATTCTATTTAATTACTTATAGATAACAGAAATTGGATCTATTCTCCTTTTGCATTCTATGATGATTTTTTTATGGTAGGAAACATCAAACATAAAGTACTTTGTAGTTACTATTTTATTTAAGCTATAGACAATTTGTGTGAACGACTCGTCTATTTGTAGTTGCTGATGAATAATAACTAACGATACGATGATAAGGTCTCTCGTTTAACACTGGTGATAAAAATAATGAACTCACTGGTCAAAATGAATTTAAATTTAAATTTATTTTTTCCATTTCACTTCATTTGAATCGTATGTGACCACTGGTACGTACGAGTTATATATCACTCTACTGTGAAATGTATGTATAAAGTAATAAGTAACCATAATCCTTGCAAGGTGGCATAATCACTTTTTTAGAAGGTACAGAATGAAAGTGCATATGTACGATAATATACACAGACGTAAACTATACGTATTTTATATACTCTGTGATATCGTATTGAAATTTCAGTTTTCATTTTACATTACAGCTAACATTGTACTATCTGTCGGTGTGGGTTATTGTTACGCGTACAAGATTTGTTTATTAATTTCGTATGAAAGCCTAAACATTAAAGATATACTATGCTCATCTTTGAGTAAAATATTTTGATCGACGAAATTTATTAAAACCTATTCAATTCTTACTGAATATGTCTTATTTGAATAAAAAATGTATAAAACTATGTATTGGAAGTCACATTCTCTATTATAGAACAAGTAAAGTTAGTCTTTTCTTAAAAAAACTGCCAGTTTTTTTTAACTACACTACATATTCATATTTTGACGACCTATAGTGTGTAGTGTGTTAAACATGACATATCAACTTTGTGTAAAGTCAAAACATGTTTGTTTTAAATTTACAAAGCGACTATGAAGCAATTATCAATATTTTTATATCAAATTTGTGCATAGTATATCTTTAAAATTATAAAGCTGCATTTAAATTTTTGAAACTATCGAAATTTTAAACCAAACGGTAAATTGAATAAAAGATACGTCATACGTTTATATTGTAATTTCTGTGTGAACAATCGAAATTTTGCAAACCGGCGCAGGTAAAATATTTCACAATTTTCTTCAACAACGCCTGTTTTATTGTACAATCAATAAATTGCTTGCTTCTACAATGATTTTCCGCGAACCACTCAATTTTGTTTTGGTGCCATTCATTTACTTTTGACATCATTCACCACTGTGTTCTTACAACACGCTTAACTAAATCTCTTGCAAGGTAAAAGAAGTTAAAATTATCACTTTTGTCAAAGCATGAAATGAAATATTAAGCTGCTGTCACTTTAAAAATATTTGTTACCGAGGTAAAATTCGAATGATATTAAGTTACTAAAACTGCAATAACAAAAACCGTTTGGTCTCTTCCGTCTGTGTACATGCGGGCAAAAGTAAACTATAAGTCTTGTATATTCTTTATTTTATGTTATTAAAATTTCAATTTTCATTTTAAATTACAGCTCACCCAGATGGTACCTAGCACAATATAGTTTAGGTAAACATTTTATTCGAGGTCTCTCCCTTTCTCGCTTTGTCCGTCCGTGTCCATGCATGCGCGTTGGTGTTTGTGTTTGCGCTTGTGTTAAAGATTGGACAATAATG